GAAGGTAACAGATGACAACCAACGGTAAACTTCAACTGTTTTCATCTGCTGATGGTAAACCTAGTTTGGGTTTAGGGTTCTTGGAGTCATCGGAGCCGCCGCTGCAACCTCCTCCTCCCTCCATCGAAGTCCTCTCCTCGGAGGTTCCTATTTCTAAACTTACTTTTGTCTTTGATTTTTGAATAAACGTTTTTTTGATTTGTTGATTTTGTATTTGAAGTAGATTTCTTCTTCTGTGAAATACACTGTAGAGCCTGTCAATTTAGGTGGCCTTACTTTACTCAAGGTGAACCTTTGATCCTCTTTTTATTAAAGAGAACAAGAATGAATTTGTATTGAAGTAGTTTTAGAAATGAATAAGAATCCGTTAAATTTATCAAAGTTTCTTGTAGATTGATAGTATCTTTATAAATTCGAAAATGCTGAACTATAAGTTTTCCATTATTTAGGGAAGGGTGAGTACTAATGTGGTTCTTGGATTGCCTAACTCTGATTTAGTCCCTGGAATTTATGAAGGTTTGTAATGATGTTCCTCTTTTATCTTTTTACCATACTTCATTTTTGGCTCTCATATTGATTTTCTTGTTCTGATGAATGCATTTTGAGCATCTTTTCAAATAACGAACACGTGGTGATGATTGCTTTTCCTTTTCCGCTTTTCTTGGGAGTATAGGAGGACTTAAGCTATGGGAAGGTTCATTAGACCTTGTTAAAGCTCTGCAATCCGAGATTCAAAATGACCATCTATCACTTGAGGGAAAACGAGTGTTAGAGGTGGGCTCCTAATTCTAATTGATTGTATATGGCTCAAAAATGGCACTCCGAGATATTGGCTTCACTTCTGGAATCTTGATTGCCATCCTCACCGACTTGATAGATTGTTTGTGTTATTATTATGGTCCCTAGTGAAATGCCATGTTGCTATGTGTTTACTGAATATTCTTAAAAAAACAAAGAGGAACGATAATTCATACCTGCACAAAGTCATTGGTTTTTACTTCCAACCTTTTTTTTGACACACTAGTAGCTCGATTAGTTGACTTATGTGTTTCCGTGGATACTGGCCAACACCCATATGTTGTTCAGGGGAAATTTTCTTTCGTACTGGTTTTGTGTGTGATGATTTTCTGCATAAATCAGTGTAGCTTATGCTTTATAGCTGTTTTTATTCAGGTCCCTGGTTTGAATGTGGCAAGTGTACTTACATATTACTAGAGTGGCATATGAATTTTTGTAATACATTATTAACGTTCTAATATTTCTAGCATACATAGTATTCAGCTTTGGTTTCTGGTTAGGTTCTTATCACCCGGACAATTTGACTTGAAGAAACTGCCGTTGTCCTTCTCATAGATTTGACTCCTAATAATGATGACTTGAAATATTGAATTTGTGAATATAGATCTAGATAGATGTCATTCATATCTTGGCTTGTTCTGTTTGCTGATTTTCATCTAATTGTTTTCAGCTTGGATGTGGCCACGGACTTCCTGGGATATTTTCTTGTCTCAAGGTAAATTCATGCATACTTGACCAAACTATGTTGTGATGGGAGTATTTGGTAAAATTTCATCATCATTTTTATCTGTCTTCAGGGTGCAGCCGAAGTGCATTTTCAGGACTTCAATGCTGAGGTACTCCGGTGTCTCACCATCCCAAATGTAAATGCAAATCTTTTGGAGAAGTCTCAACCAGCCACCGCATCCAAAACTCGCTTCTTTGCTGGTGACTGGGGTGAGATTCATCAATTACTTCCTCATGCGAATGAAAGTGAAATTAACTCAGAGCATGGTCAAGCTACTGGTTATGATGTTATTCTAATGGCTGAGACGATTTACTCGATCTCTGCTCAAAGGAATCTCTATGAACTTATAAAGAAGGTATTGTTTTATTGAGTAATTCTACCATTTCTGTTAATTGCAAATTCTTCCTTAGCTTTAAGCATTGTTAATTTGCAGTGCATGATCCACCCACATGGAGTTGTATACATGGCTGGAAAGAAACATTATTTCGGTGTAGGAGGGGGAACACGGCAATTTCTTTCTATGCTTGAGAAAGAAGGTAAGCTGTTCTTTTATATCTTTGATCATGTTAATAGAACTGGAATATATTCATGTCATGTTGGATAGAGAATTTTTTTTAAAGAAAGAAATGCTTTTGTAAGTTTGGACATAGGAGAACTGATATTCAGGAGGTTTCCCTTTTCATTTCTTTTATGTATATTTCTCATGCACTTTATAGGTGGTTAACATGGTTCGAGTGTTTTGCAAAGGCCTTTCTAATGGGAAATGTATTATTAAAGAGATTCTAGGACATCAGTTCATCAAAAATGCCATTTTGGCTCGAGGGGTATTGTTCTCTGAGTCTCCATTGTTAGTTCATTAGCTAAAATCCAAATACTCACTAAGGCTCAAGGGAGAATTGATGAGTTGTTGGAGTTGAAGGTCGGTGCTAATTTATTCAAAATCTTGGTGCATGAAGTTGATCCTTCCTTCAAACCTAATTCTTTGGTCCCTGAAGATTGCGATGTTTCATTAGAACTTGTTCCTCCAGTTGGGTCGTGATTGTTCGGCAGTTGTATTCAGAGGCATTTTTTTTAGTTTGTGGTTGTAATTGTGGTTTTTATTTTGCTATGTTATCTTTCATCTTGAGGTTTATTTAGAAATAGGGTTTTGTCTTGGGGGCTTTTTGTTTGAAGATGGAAGATTCTTAGGTGATATGGTGTTTTGTAATGGTGTGTATTCTCGTATGAGGGTTCGGTGTTACCACATGTACTTGATATTCTATTTAATAAAATATGAGGCACTCTTTTCTTCCTTCCAAAGTTCTTCAACATACTTCTAAGTATGTGGAAGAATACGAAGGGAGTTTTGAATGAGACCTCCAACTTCTATAAAAAAAATTGTTAGTTCATTAGAAAATTTCTTTTTGGGGTTATTGTTTCAAGGAGTAGTTTGGTAATTTTGTATTTAACTGGAATGGATCTATTTTGTGGCGTTCTCGTAGAACTTATGGTTGACAATTCATTAGTTTCTCCTCCTTTTATGTTCTTTAGTCTTCAGTGTTGGGGTATCTGAAGTTTCTCTTTGCTGTGAAGGAACAACTCCAAAACGAATTGAACTTCTTTTATTAATCATCTTATAGCCTTAAACTTTATCATATTGTATGTGTTATAGTTCTTCATGTTCTCGGTGCAGTCTTGGAGGAATGTTTGGTAAGGCTAGCTTCTCAAACAATCATAAAAACCTCATTATCGGTGCTTATTCGATTTTAGTCAACTTTTCCCCTGTCAAAACTTTTTCAGTTAAAGTTTTATTCCTTCTAACCTTTAAGCCTCTCTCCCACTTCCTTAGATCGTAAACCCCCAAAATATTTTTGGCCATTTAATCGTATGCATGTCTATTTCCTGCAAAATTTTGTTTGTTAAGTTCCTGGGTAACATATTTTCATGGAGGATGCGCTTCAACTGCAGCATTTCTTTCGTTTCATGAGGCGGTTCATGTATATGATAGATGCTAATTAAGTTGCTGGTTTTGGCCGTGCAGGTGTTATGGCTGCAACTCTTGTTACTGAAGTTGCTGATGGTTCCTCTAATTTACGGGAGGTATGGAAGCTTTCGTATAAGTAGATCCTCAATTTTCGGCCCATTGTGTATTTAGTGTGCTACAATACTAAGGAGTGAAGCATAGGTTTCAATATTTGAAGAATAATTAATGCAACCGTGGAAGTTCAATTTTGACATATGAACGTTATGAAATGTAAATTTTACTTTTAACTTATACATTTTTCTCGTCTAAACACTTCAAATGAATTATTTTAATACATTAGAATAGAAAATGATGATCTCTTACCTTCTTTCTTCCTACATTTCCTTCCTATTAAGCAAACTCAATTTCTTTTTATTCTTCTCTTTCATCCATGTTTGAACTTTTTTTTTTATATATTTATGTCTTGTTATTATATTTGTGTTTGTATATGTATTGAATATAACTGTTAACTGTTACTAATATTTTAAAAGGAAATTCAGTCCCTGGATTACAGTATTTCTTTGGTTGATACTGATAGCTTGCAATGACAAAGCTGATATGGATAGAGATGGATTGAAACGATGGTCTCTTTAAGAATATAAATATTTTTTTTATTAATAGTATACTTTTATCTCTTATAATTTCAATGCGTGCTAGCTGGCTTTCACTTCATCAAATATTATAGTAACAAGTTAATTACTTGGTGATTCACATCATAATCACTATCATTTGAGATAAGTTTATATATATATCATATATTGAAAATCATATATTTTATATTTATGTTTTAATATATTTGGACATAAATCTTGAAGGCGGAAATGATAAAAAAAAAATTATTTTCTGCCCATAGAGAATATATTATTATATTTATATCTTAATATATGTTGGACACGAGAATATAAACTAATATTAAAATATAGGTTAAAGGTCGAACCGAACAAATTTTTTGTTTCCTGTCCATCGGTTGGATCAGCGGATTTAATGATTTTTCTTTCGTTTTTTATCCATACACTTATATAGTATAAAGTTAATATTAGATATATTTAATGAAAAAATACATTCATTAATCGAATGATATATTTAATTCAATTTATTTTATTTATAAACGTTAATATTTAGATCTCTAAAATTACTTAAGAAATTTAGAAACTAGTTGATTGATTCCATCAAACCAATCGATTATTGATAAACATCGGCTTAATAAACTTTTTACTCTTGATATTATATACTTTTTCAATTTAATATTTTTATTTATTATAAATGTAAAATCAATATTTATATTTATTTTAAAGTTTAAGTTATATTTAAAGAATGCTATTCGAGTTGATATTAATTCTTAAGTTAAATAAATCGAATCCAAATCGGTGAGATCTACATTTATCATTAAATTGGGACACAAATCATGCTCAAACAGCAAAGAGAAGCATGGTACTGAGTAGTTCAAGAATGATGATATCATGGTAGACGAAATATGTAAAGCTCTTTTAAGAATTAGTTAATATTTATAACGATAAAAAATAAAAATAAAAACAAATTATACGTAGTGGTATACATGAAAATCTCAAATTGGATCGGTTTTCTTAGATTTAACCGGCAGTCGATCACGAATCAGACCTACAACGATAGTACTTGGAGCAGCCTCGATTATAAGGGTTGGACGGTTGAGGGAGGCAGCCGCCGGTTTTACTATAAGCTTCACCGCCGGAGGCGGTGGGGCAAACCGGCTGATCTCTTTTCAAAGCGCCGGGAGATATATACCTCTTCTGTTCGAGAAACCTTCGGCTTGTTTCTGATTCCATTAACATCTCATTGGCTTCATTGCAGTCTCCGATGGATCCATTGCAGTGCATTAACGCACCGCTGCAGAAACAGATTAGGGTGAAGAAGAATGCAAGGAAGAAGTGAAGGGATTTCATGGTGTTGGATTTAGCCTACGGTTGTTGTTGAGCACTTTATAGAGTGTAAAACAACAATTTTCCTTTTTCTCAAAAAGTGGCGTTAGTGGAAGCTCCATTACTGAATAATAACCTGTGGGACCGCACTTCACCCAACTTCAATGATGCTTTTCTTTTTTCCTAATCTTTTCCTAAATACATGATTATACTGTAAAAATATTTTTTTATTAATCTAAAATAAGTAAAGTAGTATAGGTTTAAAGATAAATCTTAATATTTTTGACATTAAACGTTTATATTATTGATATTTATTATCTTTAAATCCGAGTCCTTAATGAATAACAATAATTCATTTATCACAAAGATCATTTAATTCGTGTTATACTATAAAAATATAATAAAGATATAATGTACATAAAATATTAGAACTTACATAATTTTAATTATCATATTAATATACGTCAATTATTTCGTGATCTTAATAATTAAAAGGTAATTTTTATCCTTAAATATCTTAAATTTAAATATATTATATAAAAAATGTTTAAATATTTATTATAAAATAATTAAAATCTATTAAATAGATAATATTTTATAACCACCCTAAATACCTACATGGCGATTTGACCAAACTGACATTATTTAACTGAATATTTACCTTTTTAGCACCGGTTGATATATATTTCCTGAAGTGACACCCTTTCGGTTGAGCTGGCGAAAGGCGCGTTCCCGGGGACGCGTTTTACCTATGTTTTCGCTGAGTTGGATGCCACGTGTGGAAGGCGCATCCCCGGGGACGCGCCTTCACTGGATTCTGATGACTCGACTGCCACGCTGGTATTTTGTTTAATAATAAATATTTTATTTTTATTATTACTATAAATTAGTAATATATTATGTAAAGTGTTTCGATTATAATGTAAGAATTATCAAATGTATTTTGTTAATGTGTGTTAAATGTGGAGTGAATTATCTACATATGATAGAATAATATATGAAAACCAGTTTTGATTTTATTGTAGTTATAGGAAAAATGTATGAAATTATAATATTACACATATGGTTATATTATTATTTTGATTTTGATTATCGATCTATTAATTTTATCAGTTAATTATTTAAATGTTATCAATCTAGTCATCTCTTATCATATTAACGAAAATATTGATGCATAAGTTAATAAATTAGTATAATTACATATTTAATCTTCAAGACTTACATATTTTATGAAATTAGTCTTATTGAAAATTTAATTTAATAAATTTAATCATCCAATCAGAACATGAAATGTGTCATCGCATACATAAATTTTTTAATAACTTTTAATTTGTTTAATTTAATATTTTTCTCTACTTAGAAAGTGGAATTATTATTATATTTTAAAAAAAATTATAACTAATAATAATAATTATATTAAATAAATATATTGAAAATATTTATGTATTTAAAAGTTAAAAAAAAAATTATTTAGGTGTACATACATTGACAAATTATATAAATGCAATAACATTAAATTATTAGAAACAAAAACATTCATTTAAATACAATATTAATTACATAAGAGTTAACGGTTATATGATGATAACAGAGCTGAACATTTTTTTTCTATTGTGCCCGATATTTCTACAATGCCCACATCGTTTTTGTTCTGTTGACTTCTCCTGAATATCCATATCACAATGTATTCTAGTAGATTTTGGACGACCTGAGTCCCTCAATAGCAATGAATCTGGTACAATTGTAAGCCAAGTTTGAATCTCACTTGGGTCTCTTTCGTTTCCTATGGGCGGAAACTCAAATTCATATACCTTGAATACTTGTGAAAGTTGGTATACGGGATCAACATAATTTTTGTAGTCCAAATGCGAATGTGAGCAAGCTGCAATGACATGAGAGCATGGATATTTGAGTGCTCGAAAGAAACCACAATCGCACCACCTCTCTTGCAGATTAACTCTGAAAGAGTTAGCTCCAATCACTTGCAGCGGACGTGGCATTTCGGTTACACAAAACAATTCACGGGTGCGAGAAAAATTTGTAACTAACATCCAATTTGATGCAACCACTTTTTTCTGTAAATCAACTACTAGTCTTGGGTGGTAAATATGGCCGTTTCGCATCCAAGTAAGAGCTTGTCCACCGAGCTTTGCAAAGAGTTGACCCAAACGAAAATAAGTCGTTTTAACCAACGTTGTGACTGGTAAATGACGCGCCCCCTTTAAGGTTGAATTTATTGCTTCAGCCAAGTTTGTTGTCATATGACCATAGCGATACCCCCCGTCATATGCATTTGTCCACATTTCTTTGTTGATGTCCACAATGTACTCGCACCCCTTCTTATTTTTGCCAAACAGCTCTTGTAGCATCGACTCAAACCTTTGAGGTAAGAGTTCGTAACCTAAGCCATTAGGAATATGTAATAGTTAATATGAAGTATAAATAAATAATAAGAAATTGATAGAAAAATTGGGAAAAAGTAACATACCCATCCGCACGACTAACTGACGTTCATCGTTCTTCTTGTATTTTCCGTAATAGTTTGCAGCAATATGACGGACACAATAACGATGTTGAACATGTGGAGGTCTATACATTGTACCCAAAGAGTCCATTGTTGCTTTTATCCCGGCTCCTCAGTCTGAAATAATGCATACTCGTTCTCTGGTGACAACATGTAAACGTAAATTTTTAAGGAAAAAAGCCCAAGACTCAGTGTCTTCTCCTTGAACGAGGGCAAACGCAACAGGAAGAATATTACGGTTTCCATCTTGGACCACAGCCAATAATAAAACTTGCTTATATTTCCTATACAAGAAAGTACCATCAATTTGGACAACTGGTTTACAGTACTTGACTGCATTAATACACTAAGGGTATGTCCAAAAGACACGATAAAATTGGCAGCGATCGCGAACCATTCGATCATTCACGTAATGATGTTGAGTTTCGAACTCAACAATTGTCCCGGGATTAAGTCTTTACACAACATGAAACCAACTGGGCAGCTCGTTGTAAGAGGAATCCCATTCTCCATGAAGTTTGCAAATGACATTCTGTTTTGCCAACCACGTTTTTTTATATGAGACAGTGTACCCATATTGTGACTGTATAGCAGAAATCAACACTGCAACAGCTATATGAGAGATTTGCTTCACAATGGGCATGATTGCTTGGAAAATAATGTTGGAGTCCAAGTTGGGATGATCCTGGTTTATACCTGTTGCACAACATGTATGAGGACCGTTGTATCTGGTTAGTTCCCATAAGTTGTTCTTCCTCTTTGATACACGGACCATCCATTGATATCCGTTGTCACGTTGGACGCAGTAGCAGACATATTTCTCCGTGTTAGATCGATCAACTCGGGACTTAATTGAGTTACAAATATTGTAACTCTTTATTGCCATCATTGCTTCCTCCTTCGATGCGAACTCCATTCCAATATGTAAATTACCGCCATTGACTAATGATTGAAGTCCATAGTTGCCAACATCAGGAAGATCTGGAAATTCAGGCTCATACATTGCATCATAATCAGCCTCATACATATGTGCAGGAAGTTCGGCTGGTGTTGTATTTATCGGAACGTCATCCTCGTCATCATCATAATGTACGTTAAACTGTGGTGAGTCAGGTTCAATGAATAATCCCGTTTCAGCACCATCTGTACCTGGCTCCCGAAGAGGTTCTTCTGGTGGAGATGAGGGTTCCTCCGATAATCCAATGTTGAGGTCAAATAAGTTCCCGCTTTCGTGTCCTCCCCTTGAACTTGAGGCCATTGTATCATGTGGGATGTGAATAGACTGCCGTCTCATTGGCATTTCCATATGTAAGTCGAAAACATTGGCAGATGAATGTCTGCCCCTTGAAGTAGAAGAGATGTTGCCATATGGATTATTGGTGAAGCCACGTGGGTTGAGATCATAAGCAGTTGCAGATGAATGCCTTCCTATTGAACTTGATGGCATGGTATCTGGCGTTGGATCCGCCATTAATGATGTGAAATCATTACAGATCAGTTATGTTAGGCTATCAACTTGATCAGCTTGATATGCAATGCCAAAGTGAGAGGAATATGAGAGACCACGAGTTGCACGAACCTCAATAAAAGTGGCATACATTTCAATAAGAGATTGTGAACTCCCCATATGAGCATCAACCATCATAGAAACATCATCATCATTTGAAACTGAAATGATGTATACGTGAGCATAAAAAGTTCAGTAGGAAATCTATACTGAAGTGAAGATAGTCTTCTCTGGCCTGCTACACGAATCTTTAACGAAATTTTTGTGATTAACTCCTCAATTGTGATGTTTCTCTTCAAGGTTAAGGGGATATAATGATCTGACTAAAATACAACCCTCTCTTCAGCTTCCTTAATTTCTCCATCATACAAAACAAAAGCAGAAAGACGACTCATTTTTAGAGAATTTGAGAATTTAGAGTTTGGGAATTTGAGAATTTGAAAGCTTATGAACTGAAGTTTGTTTTGAAAGTTTATAATACGTTGTATATAATAGTGTCTATAATCGGAGTATTATTCACATGAAGGCGCGTTCCCGGGGGCGCGCCTTCCATTATTTTGTCAGAGAATATGTTATCATTGCCCTATTATGTCACTCATGTCCCTCGGGGACACTATTCATATCAGTACCTATTATTTCTCAGGGGACTTGAAGGCGCGTTCCCGGGGGCGCGCCTTCCATTATTTTGTCAGAGAATATGTTATCATTGCCCTATTATGTCACACATGTCCCTCGGGGACACTATTCATGTCAGTGCCTATTATTTCTCAGGGGACTTGAAGGCGCGATCCCGGGGGCGCGCCTTCCATTATTTTGTCAGAGAATATGTTATCATTGCCCTATTATGTCACTCATGTCCCTCGGGGACACTATTCATATCAGTACCTATTATTTCTCAGGGGACTTGAAGGTGCGTTCCCGGGGGCGCGCCTTCCATTATTTTGTCAGAGAATATGTTATCATTGCTCTATTATGTCACTCATGTCCATCGGGGACACTATTCATATCACTACCTATTATTTCTCAGAGGACTTGAAGGCGCGTTCCCGGGGGGCGCATTCCATTAT